TATGCTCTATCATTGAACTAAGACCTATTATTAGTTAGAGCAAACGGATTACTGGAGAGAGGAGAAGGTGTACTGCTTGTTTGCTGCAGAACCTGGAATGGCTGCTTCCTCAAATTCATCTGTAGGTATGATCTTCTCCGTATATTAGTTGTGTTTTGATCACAGTAATTCATATTACTTGTTCTTGGTTTGTGTTTCAAGATCTAACATGTGGTATCAGAGCCTTAATCACAAGTTTATGAATCTTGTTATTAAATCAATGGGTAATGTAACTTAAATAAATTTGCCTTATGTTTCAACCTAGAGGAATCGAACTCGGGTTCCGGTATGTGGTTTTTATGAATAACGACAAAATGTGTTATTAAAATATTACCGTTAAAACCTTTCCAAAAGTTTTTCTTTTTCGTTGGACTTCGTGCAAAATCATTGGTCTGGGTTCTCTCCCCAATTTGGGGTTTTTCGATTACAGAAATCACAAACATAAGCCATAAATCTCTAAACTACTGTTATCAATTTGGATGATTATTTCCGCTACGCTATCTCAAATTGAAACTCATATGCAGGAGGTATGTTTGATGATTTATGTTTATTTATCAGTATTGGCATACCTATTTTGATGCTTGGTTTGAATCGAGGTTTTCTTTTTGAGTTTTGAAATATAGATATCGAAATCAAAGAAAAATCCAAACTAATTAAAATTGCCAGTTAGGAATTCTTATGTAATGGATGACCAATCACATATAAGGCTATAATTTTCTAATATCATTGAAGACATTGACTTGAGAGAGAATTTGACCATTGGAACCCCTAAACCATTATCGAATGAGGTTTTTCCCCAGACTAGAGAAAATGTTGATTCCTTCCTTGAACATCGATCTGGGTTTTCCTTCCCAACACTAAAATCTTCTATTTTCAAATTCTAAATCGCTTCCGCTGTCCGTTTCGTGAATTTGAAATGCTGTGATTAAAAGGTTTGTTGTTAATTGCTTTGTTTCCATTGAAATCCTATATATATGAATGTGTTTTGGCATCCATTGAATACATGTATAGATGAATGTGTTTGGCCTTTAAAGTCTGCATTAATCGATTGCTGCAGTGAGTCATATGTTAGATCAACTTCTTTTAAATATAAATCTCGATTTTGATTTAACTGTGATTAACCTTTTTTAAAATTGCTTTTTACATGTATGAGACACCATTAAACCATTCGGTAGAAATTAGCGAATTATTTAAAGTTCTTGTTATATCATTTTACTTTATGTACGCTTATCAACAGATTGTTGTTAAGACTATATGTATGGGTCTGTGATTATAGTCATGATGTGCAAAGTGATGTTGAGATGAAATCAGGAACTAATAAGTTCATATTTGTGATTTCATGATATTTGGAGCATCTACAATATCATTAAGGACTATGAACTTGGCAAATATTCCCGTCTTGTAAGGGGAAGCAATTACAAGAAGTGGAGATGTGAGATAGGACTCTTATTGACTCTCAATGAATTTGACATAGCCCTTGAAACTCCCAAGCCAATTTTGACTGATTAAAGCACTAGGGCTGAGAAAGCTGATGTAGAGAGATAGGTTAGAGCAAACAAAGTGGCACTTTCTATACTTGAAAGTGCCATGACTGATACTGTTTGAGGTGGGATCAAGAAGCATGAATTAGCTATTGACTATTTACAAGCAATTGAGAGGAAGTTCAAAGAGTCTCAGTAGGCAGAAATCAGTCAATACATGGCAATGCTTACCACATACAAGATTGAGGGCATGGGTTCAATCCGAGATCACATACTGAAGATGACCAATGTTGCTAAGAAGTTGAACTCAATGGATGTCAATATTGGAGAAAACCCGATGTTCTAAAAAACGCCCTAGTTGGCCGCCTAGGCGCTGGGCGCCTAGCAACCGAGGCGTTTTTGGGCAAATCGCGCAGAAAAATTGGGTTCGGCCTAGGCGGCACCTAGGCGGGCTGGGCGGCTTGGCAGGCTAGGCGGTCCTAGGAGGTTTTTTATTTTTTATTTTTTATTAATTGCGTGCTTTTTTCTTTTTTGGTTTCATGGTGGTATACTTATGGAAATGGTGTATCTAATTTGCAAATGATGGATTTACTACAAGTTCATCCAATACTTATGGAAATAGTGTACCTAATTTGCATTTTATCATTATTTTATTATCCATACAAGTACAGTTTTTTTTAGGTGTCAATATGCACTTATTTACAAGATATACAAGAAATTTACCTAAATCCGCCTAGGCCGCCTAGCCACCTAGGCGCTAGCCCGCCACCCGACTAGCGCCTAGCGTTTTTTAGAACCTTGAGAAAAACAGTTGGTTTTCATGATTCTCCAGGCTCTTCCAATCAAATACTCTCAGCTGAAGGTGTCTTATAATACACAATACAAGAGTTGGGATATATATATGAGCTTATCGCACAATGTGTTCAAGAGGAGACTCGGCAATAGCAAGAAAGAGGCAAGGATGTTGAGACTGTGAATTTTGTGCCAGGAGGAAAGGGGAAGAAATTCAACAATGCTGGAAATAATTCAAGTAAGAATTTCATGTACTCCAAACCTTCTGACAAGACTGGTACTTCTGCTAAAATATTTGATATTTCTAAACGGTCTAACAATCTTAAACCAAAAATTAAAAATGTTGCCAAGCTTAAGTGTTTTTTTTCTTCTGCAAAACTCGAGGACATCTAAGAAAGGATTGTGAAATGTTTAAGGATTATCTGAGAACTAATGGCAAGGAGGTAGTTAATGTCTGTGAAGAGTCTTTTGATCACTAGGAGTAGTTTGTTATTCTGTTTTATAAAGAGCAATTGCTGCATTAAGGATAGTTGCAAAATAAAGTTTGAGAAGTGCTGCTACTGTGAAGTTCGAATAGCTGGTGTGGTAGTAATGTTCTTCTCTAAAGTTAAGTTTATGTTTAGCTAGTTTAATTATCAATTAGTATAATTGTTAGCTAGGTTTATTGCATTCAGAGATTCAATTTTTGTAATTGATTGGTTTGATATATATATATATATATATATATGTGTGTGTGTGTGTGTGTGTGTGTGTGTGTGTGTGTGTGTGTGTGTGTGTGTGTGTGTGTGTGTGTGTGTGTTTTGGATTCAGTTTGATGCTTTGAGAATCTTTGTGATTTGACTTGAGCAGTTGGTTGAATTCATATATTGGTAATTCATTATATTGGAATGAATTACTAGTTGATAGTTTTACTATTTGTTGGACTTAACTGTTTCGAATTAAGTTGAGGAATAGTGGGAGTAGACAATTTTAAGGTCTACTTGTATCAATTTGGTCATAATGTTATAAGTGCAAATTGAACATATGTGATTTGAAGTTAGCATTTACATAATGGTTGTAATTGACATCTTTTGGTCCTGTGTTTTGAAATGCACGGGTAAATTGTTTATGATGAAACTCAAAAGACTTAGTGATCACCCTGTTGTAAACTTGATAGAACTAATTTACTTTTTCATACTTGCTCAAGTGGGAGAATGTTAAAATATGAGCATGAGTATGAATCTGTGGATTAAGTTATTTGACTCAAGTTTGGATAGGAAGTCTTATTAAGAATGGATTTGTAATCCATGTTATGCTGAAACACCATGTTGGTTGTCTATAAGGATTCTAATAGGGGAATCCTTATGGGATTTGGCGAGGATTATGTTGTGTATATATAGTGGCATCTGCTCTCACAGTTGATACGCTCTATCATCGAACTAAGACCTATTATTAGTTAGAGCAAACTGATTACTAGAGATAGGAGAAGGTGCACTACTTGTTTGCTGCATAACCTGGAATGGCTGCTTCCTCAAATTCATCTGCAGGTATGATCTTCTCTGTACATTAGTTTAATGAACATTAGTTTGTGTTTTGATCACAGTAATTCATATTACTTGTTCTTGGTTTGTGTTTCGAGATCTAACAAGTACAAGTGGAAGGTTTGCATGTAGCCCTAGCCCTACTCAGAAGATGAAGAATTTGTTAATTTCGTGGTGTTGCTAACTAGGGTTTGATATTTCATAAACAAGATGAGTATGTATTGCTAGCTAGGTTAAGGCTTCGCAAAATGGCCTTTGAAAGAGAATTAAGGAATTGAAACCAGCTGAGGTAGAATTAATAGAGTTTAGGGGAGTGAATAAAATGAGTACTCATTTGAATATATACTTAGTGATGTATCATATGTTGTTACATGTATAGATGCTTTATATCATGTACTCATTTTATTGAAAAGGGGTGTGATATCCACACACCATTTTTTACTTCTCCCACACCTTTTGGATTTTCGACCGTCGGATTGGATGAATTGAAAAAGATCAACGGACAAAAATTAACAAAGGGTGTGTGAGAAGTAAAAAATGGTGTGTGGATAACACACCCCTATTGAAAAAACGATAATAATAAAAAATAAGTCGCCGTTAAAAAAATTAAAGTATATATCTCCTTGCAGATCAACAAGTCCATGATCAACAGCAACATTAGCTTCTTGAATGGACGAGTGAAGAAATACTTCTTGAGTTTGAACCCTTCATTCATGTTAATTTTACTGCATTCGGGCTTGAACCCTCTCTGTCCACTCAAATTTTACGTTTGAAGTAAATAAATAAATAATTGAAATCCAAATGAATTTTATTTTCACACGTCCTGTAATTTTTTTTGTCATAGATTATAATATTGGGATTGGCTTCTCTCCTAGCTAATGTTAGCTAAGCTTATAATTTTGTCATTGATCAAGATCCTACTCTCATGATTTAATGTTAGTTTTTTCTTCAATATTTAAAAAAAAAGGATTCTTTTTAAATTAACTTAATTGGCTCTCACGATTTTTTTAATGCTCGAAAAATCATAAAAATGATTTTGTCATTGAAACATTTTTACATCAATTTTTAAAGAAAATAGTACAGGTAACATTGGAACAAGTAAAGAAATATAGGGGTGATTTCGACAAAAAAAAGGGAAAAAGAAAAAGAGACATATAGGGGCGATACAAAATATTTGGGTGATGGGTAAGAAATATCAACAACATCCTCACAAACTATTTGTTTTTGTTGGCAACCTCACAAACTAAGAAAATCTGAAAAATGGTCAAAACTTCTTATCCCTTATTAACGCATGTCCTCGCCCATCTTAGCCTTCTCTCTCTCTCTCTCTCTCTCTCTCTCTCTCTCTCTCTCTCTCAACATTTGCATGGTTAGGGTTTCCAGTTACTTCTTTGCATGGTTAGGAAATTCCCACTTTACCTTCCCCCAACTCCTTGGGATGGAGGTTCAAACAGATTTCAGGCGTCCGTGAAAGCTCAGGCCAGCAATGTGTCCATAGATTTCAACAATGTTTATCCTTCAATCATAATTTCATGTGGAAAGACTCGACAGACAGGCTTCTACAGCTTACTTTACGGTGAAAATCCATTGAAAAGTTCATTCACTCTTTTGTTGTTAGAGTTCGCTTTGATCATCGTCCTCACACGTATCCTCCGTGTTCTTCTCAAGCCTCTCAAACAACCCAGAATGGTCTCAGAAGTCATTGTACGTTCCTCTTCTCCCTAAGAGATCTTACATATTAATTTGTTAATATATATATATATATATTATATATGCATTTAAAAAAATGTTCATGCACGCACTCTCTGAGAATTCGAGCTTTGGTTGGTTCCAATGCCAAGAGAGTCATTTAACCTTTATGCATATGTGTGTGTGTATATATATATATATATGTATAATATATGGATAATGCTAGGGACACTAAAATTTTAAACCAAATTCGCAAACCAAATGATATGTCACCAATAGAAAATAAACACGTTAATCAACACTTAAGTAATAATCCAATCATTAACATTCACATCATTTCATTTACAAATTTTGGTTTAAAAATTTGGTCTCCCTAAGTATATATATTTTACGAGTAATGCTAGGGAGATTAAAATTTGTAAACAAAATTTCCAAACTAAATGATGTGTCACTAATAGAAAATGAGCACGCTTATCAACACTTAAGTTATAAAATTTAGTTTAACAATTTAGTCATCCTAGTATTACCCTATATATATTTACATCATTATAAAGTTCATATATTCTTTACTAGGTTGTATGAAATTCATCATTTTGGTATTACAATTGACTTGATTACTTTGTTTAGGGTGGTATATTCATTGGACCGTCAATTTTAGGCCGCAGCGAGAAATTTACTTCAGTTATGTTTCCGAAAAATTCAAAATTCATAGTGAGAAATATTGGATTAATTGGATTCACTTATTATTTTTTCTTGTCCGGAGTGAAAATGGACCTTTCGCTGGTGAAAAAGACAAATAAGAAACAATTGTACATGGCATTTGCTGGAGTGCTCCTCCCCTTCATAGTTATATCAATTGTTGCATTCAGTTTGCGCAAGTCCATGGACAAAGAACTAGCTAGAATTTCTTCACTTGGATTCATTTCCTCCGGCTTGGCCCTACCGTTGTTTCCGGTCATCCACGCCATCCTCAAAGAGCTCAACCTTCTGAGCTCTGAGATCGGACGTCTGGCATTGTCGATATCGGTGATCAGCGATGCGATTGGAGGCTGTATAATGGTTTTATTTGAGGCAGCTAAGCAAGGTGAGGGCAACCACCTGGCTGTGTTATGGTACTTGATTTCTGTGGTTGTTTTTGTGGCCTTCATTGTGTTTGTGATTAGAAGGAGTTTGTTGAGAGTTGCTGAGACCACCCCAGAAGGGCAACCAGTGGACCAAGCATACGTGGTGTCGATTTTGTTGGGGGTTTTAGTGATGGGATGTTTGGGTGACATCTCTGGGATCACGATCGTAAACGGTGCGTTCTGGTTGGGTTTCGCGATCCCGGATGGCCCTCCGCTTGGATCAACAATTGTAGAGAGGAGTGAGATGGTTATAGTGGATGTTTTGATGCCATTTTCTTTTGCAATGGTTGGGCTTTCTGTGGATGTGAATGCCATGAGCTCTGTTGGTTGGTCAAGCTTGAGTCCCTTGTTTGCCATCACTGCGACTGCCTATGTGGCTAAGTTGCTTGGAACCCTAATCACTTCTGCCTTCTTTGAGTTGCCACTCAGAGATGGTGTTACGCTCAGCTTCATGATGATCCTAAAAGGTCAAGTGGAGATAGTGGTTTTACTCCATTGGATGGACAAAAAGGTAAACGTACGTTTTTGGCCTACACATGAAAGAAATGTTAAATGGACTTACAGAAAGCATAAAGATCGTGTAAATTGGCAGTTAATTTATACTTCTTGGATTACATGACATTGTTAATCAACAAATTAACTGCTAGATTAGATGATAAAAAAGTATGACTGAAATCTTCCACTACTTGCATAAAAATGGTTCTTAATTATATTTGTTGCCAAGACATTTTACACCTAAATAGTACTATAATGTTAGTGAGGAGCACAAAAGAATCAAACTAGAGAAAGCAACATCTTACATATCAGTTTGGTGTTTTTCAACTATGATCGAGTTTTGATGAGCTTATATATGAAGAGCCTTAACTATTTATCTACACCGAATTGAGCTTATATCCAAACTACATTACTTTTGAACTTAGGGTTTAGCATTTTTACTTTTCGTAGAAATTCATAAATGAAACGTAATCCTACTCATCCGAACTCACTTGCTCGCTGTTCTGTGTGTATACATGCACAGATAATGGCGATTCCAGGGTTTACAATGATGGTGATATCCATCACTACAATGACTGCAATAGCCACGCCCTTGATCAGCATCCTCTATGACCCAACAAGGCCATACATGGTCCATAAAAGGAGAACCATCCAGCACACTCCTCTGGAGGAAGCAGAACTTCGCATAGTCCTATGTATATATGATGAAGATAGCATAGCTGGCCTCATAAACCTTCTTGAAATCTCCAATCCAACTCTAAGCACCCCGTTCGTAATCTTTTCTCTCCATCTTGTCGACCTTGTTGGCCGGGCTTGTCCTGTGCTTATAGACCATGAAAAGCAGGAAGAGCAAGATTCAAAATATGCAGTTTGTCACACAATCCACAATGTCATAAAGCAATACCAAGAAACCAAAGGTGAGTGTGTTAGGCTCCATCCCTTCACAGCTATAGTGCCAAACAAAACAATGTACCAAGACATTTGTGACCTAGCTCTTGTGAAAAAGGCCACACTTTTAATTTTGCCTTTTCACAAAGAATGTTTGGATACTCTTGGAGGACAATTAACAGAAACTGTGAGGCATGGGGTTAGATCTGTCAATTCAAATGTGTTAGCCCATGCACCTTGCTCAGTTGGAGTTTTGGTTGACAAGGGTCATGTTAACCAACTGGCATTAAGGAACACCGAGCTACACTTTGCCGTGCTATATTTGGGCGGAGCAGATTCTAGGGAGGCATTGTGTTATGCAGATAGGATGGCTGGAAAATTCAATGTGTCACTGACTGTGATTCGGTTTCTTTCACACAATTCTGAAGGTGATGATGAGATGGAGAAGAAGTTGGATGATGGGGTTGTGACATGGTTTTGGATGAAGAATGAGAGGAATGAGAGGGTGAATTATAAAGAGGTGGTGGTGAGGAATGGGGAAGAGACAATCTCAGCCATTCAATCAATGAATGATGATAATGAAAATAATTATGACCTTTGGATTGTGGGGAGGAAACAAGGGATCAATCCTGTGCTTTTATCTGGGCTATCATGTTGGAGTGAGAATGGTGAGTTGGGAATAATTGGGGACTATATTTCCTCTCTTGATTTTTGTTGTACTGCTTCTGTGTTAGTGGTGCAACAGCAGACTTTGAGAGGGCAAGGGTCAGATAGTACAAGTGGAAGGTTTGCATGTAACCCTAGCCCTACTCAGAAGGTGAAGGATTTGTTAATTTCATGGTGTTGGTAACTAGGGTTTGATAATTCACAAACCAGATGTGTATTTATTATTAGCTAGGCTCAGGCGAAAGAGAGATAGGGACCAGCTGAGGTAGAATTGAGTTTAGGCGAGTGAATAAAATTAGTACTCATTTGAATGTATACTTTGTGATGTATCATATGTTAATTACATGTATAGATACTTCATATCATGTACTCATTTCATACAGAGATACTTCATATCATGTACTCATTTCATACAGACGGTAATCCTACTTCCACTCAAAACATACGCGCTTATTTGCAACTCTCCCACAAAGTTAATCCTCTTCCCTACAAAGAAACTCTTCTTAGCACTCGATAAGTCATATCTGACACTCATTTCTTATGAAAACATAAGGGAAGAACTACACTTTAATGATTGTATCATTAGTTTATTAGAGTAAACAACAACAACAACAACCAAGTTTTATTTACCCATATCTTTCTTATAACTGAATCATCTACTCTCGGTTTTGCATCAAGTCTTCTTTTAAATTCTAGAATGCCACTACTCTTGGTTTTGCATCAAGTCTTCTTTTAGCTCCAGTACTCCATATCTTTCTTTTAGTCTCTTACCAAGTTTTCATAGGTCTTTCTTTACCCTTTTTGCCATTTGAGGCTCTATCTCGTAGTCGTATCTTATAACTGAATCATCTGTAGGTCTTTGGTTCACATGTCCAAACCACCTTAACCGATTTTTTTCTCATCTTATCTTCAATTGCGGTCACTCCAAATTTACCTCAGATATCCTCGTCCTTAATCCTATCATTTCTCATGTGCGCACACATTCAACAAAGCATTCTCATCTTCGCTATACTAATTTTCTGCATATGTTGCTTTTTGACCACCTAACATTCCATGTCATAAAACATTGTTGGACTTATTGTCGTCTTGTAAAAATTTTTCTTGAACTTTAGTGACATACAACAATCTCATGACACGCCCAATAAAGAAAAGGGAGAGTGTATCAGGTAATCGACAACCAACATTTTATTCTTCGTGCCAGATCCCAATAATATGAATCATTAGTTTTTTAAGAGTATCGATAACTAATTCTTACTGCAATTAAAGAGACATCCAAATGAAACCATGAACATTATATGATGGAAGTCATCATGTGTTTTTTCAAGCTATAAGGGGAGAAAGTATACTCAAATACCGCACCTCTTAAGCTAGAACCTTGTACTTGTCAAACAAATAACAATAATAATAAATTTAGATTCTGAATGTTCTGTTCAAATGTTTGGGTGAATAATTATACAAATTGTCTGGATTTGCTAATATTGGGCATATGTTTACCAATTCCAAGGTCCAGTTACAAATCATAACAAAGAAACTACTTTCGATTGGAGTCCTAAGCCCAAATCTCTCACTTTCTTCCAGCCCCAGTCCTCCAGGACCTCCACTCTCTGCAATGTCATCCATTGTTGTGCGGTAACGCCTCTCTCTCTCTCTCCCGATACAGCTTCGGTGATACAATTTTCTTTCTGTATATTCGATATGTTTTGCGAAATCAGCGACTACCCAAATCTTATTGTCATAAAAGTCGACGACTTTAGCTGAACCACTCACAGTGAGCTCCGGATTAATCCTACCCAGAAAGGTTTTACTCATTCCAATCATGCTTTCTTGATCGAAAGCCATTGCTATCGATTTTCCATCACTCGAATTTTCGAAAAGGAGGCTCCTTTCAACTTCTTCCTGCAGCAATGGACGACGATGGGTCCAACCCATTGCGCCGAATGTCGAGTCGAACTCGAAAGGTTGCTTCGAAAATGACTGCTGCCCTGCAGAGCAGTGACAACCGCACGCAGGTATATACAAACACACATGTATTTATATGTTTCGGTGTTTTTTTTTTTTTTTTCTGTGAATTTGTATAAGTTTATTAGAGTTGATGGGTTATGCTGGTTGGTGTTTTAGGCTGCCTTTGCTCGGCTTGAAGCTTTGGAAAATGATAATGCTGGTTTGGAGACGGTAGAAGTTAACGACGATGCTGAAGCTTATCTTGACGATGATGATGGTAATTTTTCATGGAACTTCTCTTTAACCACTCTGTTCTTGTTGGTTTTTTATTTTCGTATTTGTTTTCGTAAAGAAGTTATTACCTTGTATTAGACAGGGAATTTAGATTCTGTTGAATGATTTTGCATCCGAAACCGAAGTGCATTGTGATGTCAATATATGCATTTTAAGCCTTTCTGGTTGGGAAATGCTCGTTAAGTTATTAGCTATGGTGTATAAGTATGGCCATCAAACGGTATGTAAGAACGGAAGAGATTCTGATCAACCTCTCTTTCCCTCTATCTCATGACTTGGAAGTTATTTCAGTAAGTTGTCTATCGAAGGCAATTGTAGCTTAGGTAGTCTTAGAGAGATATTGTTGTTCCGTTCCAGTCGAATTTGGTTAAAGTAATAACTAAACGTTTGGGAAATTCCTTCTGCAATTATTGATGGAATGAAGGAAAAGAAATAACAATTTGAACTGCTGCTCCAGTGTTTATAACAAAGAAGCAGTCTAAGGGCACCAAGCGTAAAACCCGGCAGGCAAAAGCTCTCGAGGCCAGGAAGGCCCCAAGAACATTCCTGGAGCTTGTACATGAGGTAACAGGGTTTTTGCTGCATGTATTCTTGTAGGATTTGAATTGCCTTGATGCGCCTTTCCTAAGTTTCCTTACATAATTTTTCTCATGGAAACAGGCAAATCTCGACTCCTTGCCTCCCTATGTTCCTTCCTATTTGAAGGCAGCAGTGGGACCACCAAGCTCTACCTCCTGCCGCCATTTCTGCAGTGTTTGTGGTTCTGCTGCCACCTACACATGTGTGAGGTGTGGGGTGCGCTTCTGCTCAGGTCGTTGCCAGAATATACACAATGATACTCGATGTCTGAAGTTTGTTGCCTGATTGGTGAGTGGTTTGAACCAACATACGTAACTTTAGTGAACTTGATGCTGAAACATGTTGATAATCCATAACTATCATTTACTGTGTTGTTAGCAGTTACAATACTCTGTTTATATTGTTGTTTTGGTTTTAGTCTCCCTGAGAGGTAGGTGTACCATCATTTACACTAATATCTTGTTCTAAGGCAAACGGTTCTGAAAAGAAAGAATGAAAAAACCATATTTTATCCATTTGTGGTAATTGATTTTTTTTCTCCTGCAATCCGAGAAATTGCATCTCGTCATTCCTGGAGCTTGTTCACCATAAGAGTTGCCGTAGTTTATTTCTAGAACGGTTTTATGCAGACTGCACGGTGCACCTTCTGGGGAAGTTAGCACCGTCTCACCACATAGAAGCTAGGTTTATCTCATGTTGTGTTTCCTTCATATTTTGAGCTATCAACTCATCATCTGAAAGCCGGAATGAATAAGATATGCAATCTGAAGTGTTTCGAATCATATATTCCTTTCCTTGAATTCGGAAACAAATCATAACATGACAACTTAACTGCTTTGTTGGAGCATTGTCCAACTCATGACTCCATACGGGAAAACAAATCACAATGGGAACTCACTGACAAATTCAACCTAACCAATACATAATAAATCTAAGAATGCAAGATAACAGCAAATCTTGCAATTTCAATAGTGAAACCCAACTACTAGTGCGATCTTCTGCTGGTAATTTAGCATCGGGGTAGATCTGGTGGAGGGGGAATTACAGACTGTAATGGTCCAATTCCGTTCTCGACTAGAAAAGCCATAGCCAAACCCAGGAAGAGATGTGAATCTAAGTGACAGTGCATCAGCCAGACACCTAATTGGGTCAAGAAGTAGAAAGATATCAAAATAGTGAACATATATAGGTTAGATGAAAGTTTAGGATACAAGATTAGCATGTTACCTGGATTATCAGCCTTAAATCGTATAGCTACCCATCCCCCTGGAGGTGTTCCGATGGTATTTCTCTGTGGCGGGTCGATGAGGTTGAATCTCGCTGGATCTGTGCTGGGGTTGTAGTTTCCAAATCCTGATCCAATCACATAGAAATGGTACCCATGAAGATGCATAGGATGGTCCTCAGTAGTCACTATACTTGTGTCCTGAAGCACTATTTGTACATTAGCACAATACTTCAACCTGTAAAGCTTAGTTCCACGACGAGGTGACCATAGCCCCCGGGGCACATTTCCGGTATAATTGAATTGCACAGGAGGAATAGGTGGAAAGTCTGTGGTGAAGACACCGGGTACACCATAGTAGGCAGCTTGCATTAAGGAGTTGGTTCTTGGTAATACAAAGGAAACATTGTTCATGCTGGCTGCAAAGCGGGTGTTGTTTGGTCCTTGACACCGAGGGCTGTTGGGAACTGTGCAGTTATAAAGTCCTAAACCCACAGTGAAAAACAGGTACTCGTCAATCTGCGTGGGGACTCTGACCTGGGATGGGCTCTTTATCTGAGCAGTGTATGCAGTAGCAGTTGCTGTATCGTTGTAAGCTGGCAATGTAGGAAATACTGGTGCTAAACCTTGATTTGAAGAAGCAGCATTCTTGTACTCAAGGATAGCAGTGGTGGTGGTATTGTCGAAGGGCGCATTCTGGGCAGTCGCATAGGCACGAGCAGCCATGTAGTACCGAGCAGGGCGCTGATCAGCAGTAAGCAGAACATCGGTTGTTTGGCCAGGGCCTATCATGATAACTCTGGTTGTGAAAGGTCTTGTGTAAGATGCGTCAGCGCCCACAACAGTCAGTTGGTGGTTGGCAACGGTAAAGAAGAGTTCTTGATTGAGTGCAGAGTTGATGACTCTCAGGAGAAGTGACTCGCCAGATACGACTGGAATTCGAATGGTTTCTGCATCGCCATTTTTTTTATTTCAACACATTATACATCGTTTTATTTTTGCATATTTAAGCAAGTGGAATTTAGCAAACCTTGTCTGGAACATCTGTAAAGATCACCAGGCTGGCCATTAATGGTGTATGCATCAGAGACATTTGGTGCTCCTCCTGTGAAAGCCGCCAGCCTCATGACATCTTGGGGGTCTCGATCAAACCATTCCCCAAGAAGAATGGGAACTTCTCGTTTTGGCATCGGGAAGGGGTAGGGAGAACCCAATCTAGGGTAGATTATGAGGGCTCCATAGACAGTGGCTCTGAGCCATCTGCTGTGAGCATGCCACCACAAAGTGCCCTCTTGGTCTTTGATTGTGAACCTGTATGTGTAGGTAGCTCCTGGTTGGATAGGGCACTGTGTGACGTATTCCGGACCATCTGCCCATGGATTGTTCTGCTGCTTCAGTCCATGCCTGAAAGATACAGAATAATAAGCCTTACATAAACTTGGCAGGGACACTAGACAAACATTAAGCCGTATATAAACCATGATTTAGTTTATTAGCAGCAGAATATTCAGAAGCGTTGTAAATTATGATGAATGAATACCAGTGGATGGTGATGTTGTATCTTGCTCTGTTGGTAACTTTGACGGCAACGGAATCTCCATTTCTGACTTCCAAAGTTGGACCTGGGAACTGGCCATTGACTGTGATTGTACTGAGGGTTCTGCACAGCCTCATGACCGGCCTCGCTTCAACCTATTTCCAAATTTCCACTCACAAAACAAAGGTGTTATGAATACGAATACACAAATATGAACACGAACGCGAATACAAAGACTACTATATGCATACGAAATGAATGAATACGTACGATGAATTCATAGAAGTGAACTTCTGCAGCTGAGAAGGAAGCTAAGAAAGTGAGCAAGGCAAGAAGGCCAAGCAGAAGGGTAAGTTTGGAGGCCTCCATTGCTTTGCTGGTGGTAGTGTGAGCTTAGACTTGTGAGGGAGGACCTATTTATCTATTTCTGGATTAAGCGGGAAAGGGAAGAACAAATATTAATTTTAATTTAATTTAATTTAATATTTTGAGAAATTACCCATGTAAATTAGGTTTCTAGGTCAACATTGGACACTGAAGATCTTCTAGGACAGATTAGATTAGTCCACCCAAAAAGGGGATTTGGTTCACCCACTAGGCCCTCCTCAGTCAAGTGTTAAACCAATGTTTAGCATCTCAAAGGTGTGGTGATTCTTATTAGTGCCTTAATTTATTAGGGATTGAGCTTAAGGTCATAAGCCTCGACCAAATCTATAAGGGGATTGAGAGTTATGCCTTGATGCGAGCAATC